TGCACAGAAAGAGAAAGGATAATCCGATTTTGCTCGAACTTTGCAAATCCTAATATTTGCGTCAGTCCTAGGTCAGATGCTAAAATGGACAGTATCGGTCCACTCCATCAAGTACCTCCCCCACAAAGGGTCAACAGTTTGAATAATTATAACTCTTATAAAATGTGATGTAAGGATCCGAACGTCTTCAAATTTCACACATTCCAATATTTTTTTAAAAACCAGGATCTTCTGTTAACATGGAATGTATCGGTCCACTCCTTCTGGTACCTCCCCCACAAAGTGTCGAAATTTTGAATACCCATGAAGCTCATAAAACGTCACATTAAGATCCAATTCCATTTAGACTTGGCACATCTCAATATTTCCATCAACACAAGATCTGTTATAAAGGTGGTATAGATCGAACCATTTCTTCTGGTACCTCCCCCATACATAACTTTCAAAACAATTTAGCAATTCTTTACTGCTTGCTATGCTCAAATATTTCTCTCAATAAGAAGCCTGATATGATTATGAAATTTATCGGAATTTATGATTTCGCATAAAATTGGAAATAAATATCCTTTCTTGTAGTTTTGCCCAATATTTCGCTCAATATTTTTTATTTGTATGAGATGAAGTATAAAAATGGAATATTTCGGTAGACTCTATCTGCTACATCACGCACATTTTAACATTTTCTAAAAATTATTACATTTCTCATATAAAGTGAAGGAGTTAGTCGATATAATCCATACCAGGAACGTCGGAATATTTATATATACGATACGAAATGGACAATATTGGTCCATTCCTTCGGAAACTGCTCCATAGAGGGCCAAACCTTTGAATAATTGTAACACTAGTCAAATATAGTTTGATTATTTAATCGAACATAGGCTGAGGGTATATATCTGTCGGCAATACCGACTGATACTTTTTAACTTGTTTTTTATCTCATCCTGTATACGTGGATTTTTAAGAATATTTTTCACTAGGCTTTGATCGTGGATTTTTTAGGCTTTGAACGTGGATTGTGAAGAATATTTTATTAAAGTATCCACAAGGCTTTAAACCTAGATTTTTAGGAACATTTTGTCCAAACGATCCACAAGGTTTTAAAAGTGGATTTTCTAGAATATTTTTTTCAAAGGATCCACAAGGCAATAAACGTAGATTTTTTAAGGGACCCACAAGGATTTAAGCATATATTTTTAAAAACAAATTTTCAAAGGACCTACTACGTAATTTTTTAAGAATAATTTTTAAAGGACCCACAAGGGTTGCAACCGTGGATTTTTTTAAAGATTTTTTTTTGAAAGGACCCACAAGGCTGCAAACGAGGATTTATGAGATTATTTTTTAAAGGATCCACAAGGCTTTAAGCGTGGATTTTTAAGAATATTTTTGTCAAAGGACCCACAAGGATTTAAGCGTGGATTTCTAAGAAAAAAATTGTTAAAGACCCTCAAGGTTTTAAGCATGGATTTCAAAAAAAAAAATTGTTAAGGATCCTCAAGGCTTTAAGCGTAGATTTTTATGATTATTTTTGTCAAAGGACAAAAGGATTTGGTGTACAATTAACCCGAAATCGGTTGAAGACATATATGGGAGCTGTACCTAAATCTGAGTGACTTGAGTAGGAACTAGGCATCTCAGATCACGAATGACATCTGGCGAATCGCTTTTTTCGAGTATAATAGATGGGTAGCACTATGGAAAAACTCGTATTCTTCGAGCTCTTTCACGAATTTAAAACGAAATTTGATTGAATCGTAGCTCTAGTTTCTTGTATGAAGGTTTACCTTCAAATCCACCTTTTAGTGGGGAACCCCATCTTGGAATAAAAACACACCACTTTTTTTCGAATTTGTATCATTGTTTTTATATCCTACACCACAAGGTGGTCAGGGTATTATGTCTCTGTGCATTTATTTGTAACAGGCAAAAGAAAACGAGATAGACCCATAGTTCCTTTTGATGATCTGCATTGAATCACTTTCTGAGTTGATTTATGCATGTCAGTCCGTCTGTCCGTCCGTCGTCCGTCTGTCCATGTATTCTTGTGTACGAAATGCAGGTCGCATTTATTATCCGATTTAGATGAAATTTTCCAAACAACATTTGTTTGGCCCAAGGACGAACGAATTGGAGATAATCGGTCAAAATTTAGATATAGTTCTCATATATATCTTTGTCCGATTTTCCTTTTTTTGTGCACCAAACGTGTAATATCAGCCCGAATAGTATGGAATGGTTTGCACATACAACCAAATTAGGCCTGAAAATAAGTATGTTGAATTTGATCGAAATCGGTTCAGATATAGCTATAGCTCCAATATATATTGTTCATCCGATTTGTTATTTTAGTCCTCCGCAGCCGTAATATGCACTCTGTAACAACAATATTTGGGGAAATATATCAAATGCAGCTCAGATATACATTTGCTAAATTTTATCGAGATCGGTTCAGATTTGGATATATGTAGCTCCCATATATAACATCGTCCGATTTACTTTTTTTATTGTGCACCGAACGTCTAATATTTGTCCAAATGGGATGGAATTTGGCACTTACAACCGAATTGAGTCTAGAAGCTAGTATGACAAATTTTGTGAAGATCGGTTCAGATATAGCTATAGCTTCCACATATACTGTTCATCCGATTTGTTATTTTTGTCCTCCGCAGCCGTAATATGCACTCTGTAACAACAATATTTGGGGAAATATATCAAATGCAGCTCAGAAATACCTTTGCTAAATTTTATCGAGATCGGTTCAGATTTGGATATAGCTCCCATATATAACTTCGTCCGATTTACCTTTTATTGTCCACCAAACGTCTAATATTTGTCCAAATGGGATGGAATTTGGTACTAACGACCGAATTGAGCCTAGAAGCTAGTATGACAAATTTGGTGAAGATCGGTTCAGATATAGCTATAGCTTCCACATATACTGTTCATCCGATTTGTTGCATTTGTTACACACAGCCGTAATATGCCCGTCCGGGGAATATATCAAATACAGCTCAGAAAAAAACTTTGCCAAATTTTATCGAGATCGGTTCTGATTTGGATATAGCTCCCACATATATATTTTTATCCGATTTCAAATTAATTGTGCTCCAAATGGTCAATAAAATACCGAATTTAAAAGATACAAATATTTTGGCATATTTAGTCCTTTGAACTTTAAATTATTATAATCATATGATTGAATTCTCCCATAAAAACTTTTAATTGTTATGCGGAGCTCTTCTAAACTAGCAAAGTGGTGTAGGGTATCATAAAGTCGTCCCCGGCCGACTTTAAGACTTTCTTTACTGGTTCCCTATTCAAATTTGAATTACTGCCTAATCTAAACTTTAAGGCTTTCTTGACAGGTTTTATCTGTATTAGATGAAGTATGAAAATGGAATACTTCGGTCCGCTATATCTGTTTTCTCCCGCTTATTTCCATATTTTCCCAAAATTTGCGTATATCTCATATAAAATATAGGAAATGGGTCATGTAGGTCCACGTCTTGGCCCATATAATGGTATTTCCATTTTTTCGGTATTTTGGTGATTTACACGATATTATTCACCGAAAATGTTTCAATGTTGGCATTTGAAGTTTGTAATGGGTACTACAGCCTATGACAGAAAATTGTCGGTGCAGGTCCACGTCTTCGTAGGCAATATTGTCCAAATCTGGCATGTTGTAATATTTTTATCAGTCTTAGGTCAGATACGAATTGGGCAATATTGGCCAAGTGCTTCGGAACAGTGTGAATAATCATAACTGAGCTGGGGGTATACATCTGGCGCCCAATCCGACTGATACTATTTTACCACTTTTTTTTAGAATTATAACATATTTTATACTTTGTGTGTTTTTTAGAGAATTGAGTGAGTTGAGTAGGAACGAGGCTACTCAGATCACAAGCGACATCTGGCGAATCGCTTTTTTTCGAAGATAATAGATGGGAGCACTATTGTAAAATTCGTACTCTTCGAGCCCTTTCACTAGCGAGTATTTTTCAATCACGAGTAAATTTTAATCGAATCGTAGCTAAAGTTTCGTGTATAAAATATTCCCATCCAATCCAACTATAAGTGTGAACTCCCGGCTTGGAATAAAAACACATAATTTTTTTCCTATATTCTTTCGAATTTGTATCATTTTTTTTATTTGTTATTTTTTGATTTCATTTTTATTTATTTTCTCATAATGTATACAGTTTCTTTTTCACGTTTTGTTGATTTTTTCTTCTTTTTTTTGTGTCTTTCTTAGTTGTAGTTTTCGTTACACGTCTCTTATATATTTTGTGTCCTCACACTGCATTTTCTTTTATTACAAGTTTCATATGTATTCCTTTTTGTTTAAATGTCAAGTTTGTGTGTGTGTGAGTTGGGTGTATATATAGTTTGATTTCCATTCGATAATAATAATAATAATGTATATATATATAATTAATAAGTAGATATATATAGACTTAAATATTTTTATATATATATTTTTTGTTTTAATTCACATTCACGATTTGTTTTGAGTTTTATTTTTTGTTTGTTTGTCTTTCGTTCACTTCGCGTTTTTGTTTTAACATGGAATTTCGATTTTTTTCTATTTTTTATTTTATTTATTTTTTTTTATTTTGTTAAATTTACATTGAGTTTCTAGTGGAATTAATCAAAAAATGTAAATAGTTGAATTTAATATTTTTACAATCTTTTCTGTTGCACATTGTTTTTTTTTTTCTTTTCAGAATATTTTTGGTTTAGTTTTCATTCTTTTTATTATCTTTTTGTATTTTTGTTTTTTTTTTTTGTCAAATGTAATTTTATTTTTAATAAAATTTGAATTTTTTTCTCGGGTTTTTCTTTTTGTGGTTGTTGTTGTTTTTGTATTTAAGCGAAAATTGTTATCATCATCAGTTTTTTTGCTATCACAATAAATTGTTACAATTAATAGTTTAGTTTTTGTTTGTTTGTTTGCTTGTAGGAGTTTTATTTTTTTTTTTATTATTTCTTTGTTTGGTTGTTGTTGCTGTTGTTGTTTTTGGATTTTGCATTTTTGTGTTAAAACTTTGTTTTTTACCATGTTTTCATTACCCTACACCATTTGTGGCAAGTTATGTAAAACTCTTATCGCATGGTTCCAAGAGCCCAATGCCATAAGATCATCACTGAATTAAAATAACCCAGCAAACAATTTAATGAGATACCACACCTACACCATTTGTGGTAAGTTGGTGTAAATCCCTTATTGCATGGTTCCAAGAGCCCAGTGCCCCATAATATCATAACAGAATTAAAATAACCCAGCAAACAATTTGATAAAAAAAATTTTCTACATATTAAAATGGGGGGTCAAGGTAGCCATGGCCATCAGTCCCGTTCCGTCTGTGCGTATGGCCAGCTGATGCGCACAAAAAATACTCTCAAAGGGAGAATTCCAACAAAAAAGTCGAAATTTCAATTTTTGTCTTCAAAAAATGTCGACTTTTCGATTTTTGCCTTCAATTAGCTAAGATACGATTTTAACTTTTCGACAAATGTCGATTTCGATTCCATTTTTTTGTTCGATATGTAGTTTCAAAATTTTACATTGCATAATAAGCCAAATAGAGGGGTGGTAAAAATCTCCCTCCTCTTCCACATTTTTTGAAATTTTCGGATAAAGATTTCGCGAAATCCTTATATTTTAGATAAATAGGGCCTTTAGTTTTTTACTGGCAACAATACAAGTATTAGAGGCATTTTTAATTATTTTTTCAAAAAAAAAAAAAAAGTTAAGAACTTCTATTAAACGGTAACAAGTCAAAATAATCTACGAAATTGTTTGTCATCAAATCTCATTATAGGTGCCAAAATATATCAAAAGTATGAATGTTATCTAAACGCTACCCTCCACCATTTGGAACGAATTTGGCAATTCTCAAAAACAATAAAATTCGTTAAAAATTCTGTTCAAATCTTAAAAATACCGAATGTAGCTGTTATATTAGGGTCTTTACGACGACATGGGCCTGGATAGGTAACTTTTGGCATAAGCCATTACAATATTCAAATGAGAAAATGCCGAATATCGGGAGGTACCGTTATATGGGGCTATACGAAGACGTGGACCTGCGCAGACAATTTTCTGTCTTAGGCTGTACTATCCATTGCGAACTTCAGATACCAAAATTGAAAGAATTCCGGTGGATAATGTCGCTAAAATCATCAAAATACAGAAAATCGAGAGGTACCGTTATATGGGGGCTCCACGAAGAGGTGGACCTGCATAGACAATGTCCTGTCATAGGCTGTAGTATCTATTGCGAACTTCAAATACCAAATTAATAACAATTCCGATGAATAATGTCGCTAAAATCATCAAAGTACCGAATATCGGGAGGTACCATTATATGAGGGATTTTCTGCCTTAGGCTGTAGTATCCATTTCGAACTTCAAATGCCAAATTTGAAACAATTTGGGTGAATATTGTCGCTAGAATAATACAAATACCGAATATCGGGAGGTACCATTATAAGGGGACTATACGAAGGTTTGGACATGCACAGACAATACACTACGAAAATCAAATACCAAATTAGAAACAATTCCGGCGAATAATGTCGCTTAAGTGATCAAAATACCGAATATGGGAAGGTATCGTTATATGGGGGCTATACCAAAACGTGGACCTACATGGCCCATTACTAAATACCAAAAGTCCTGCAGATATAATATATATTTGAGAATTTTATAAATCTACTTCAATTCGTTCGGAAGCTAGAGTGATTTCCACAGACGGACAGACGGATAGATGGACGGACAACGCTAAATCGACATAGAATTTTATGCTGATCAAGAATATATACACTTTGTGGGGTCTAAAATGTATATTTGGAGTTGTTACAAAGGGAATGACAAACTTAATATACCCTCCTTTTCAAGGTGGGGGTATAAAAACACATTTTAGGGTTAAAGTTGTACCTCATGTGAGTTTATGCAAAATTCTCTTCTAAACCATGATTTTTGAAGGATGACGCCAAAAACAAAAATATTCTGCATCGAATTTCAAAAATTTTCTTTCATCGAAGTCACCAAAGAAAGGAAGTCCCTATTTTCATTCCATATATCAAGAAAAACGGGAAAATATTTCCTATTATTTCTGGAACACATTTTAGGGGTTTAAACCGTACTTCATGTGAGATTATGCAAAATTCTCTTGTTAAACATCATCTTAGAATGATGACGCCAAAGACGAATATGTTCTTCATTGAATTTCACTATAAGTCACCAAAGAAAAGGAATCCCAATTTCTATTCTATACCAAAGAAATATTTGTTTAAATTTTATCAAATAACACGACAAAAATTTAAATATTTTCTGGTTGTTTCTTCCTCTTTATTTCAAGTCGTTGCATGAAAGAGTAATAAAACATTGTTTTAGACACAAAGCTTTAAAAGAGGAAATAATCTACACCAAATTTCACTATAAGTCTCAGAATAAACTATAAAGCTAGGTATAATAGTTTTTGAAAAAAAGAGGTCGCTCTCCGCTCGTATTAATCGACCTTAGCACCCGAATAAATGCCGAATATTGTCGCGAAAATATTCTGGAGGGTGTATTAAAGCCTTGGACACGCAAATATTTTGCCCGCAGACCTTGGACATTCCATTAGGACTCAGCACCATCGCACTCAACATGCGCCGCTCAAGAAGGGTTACAAAATAAGCTTCCTCTCTTCATTTCCAGCACACAATGGCCACCAAAATCTCCGGATACCAATGCTTTGGACTATTGTGTCTGGAGTATTTTGGAAAGCAAGGTTAGCACTAAAAAATACCAAAGTGTCGATCACCGCAAGCAAGTGCTTCGCCGGGATTGGGCCAAAATACCGCCGAGCAACAGTCGTTTGAAGACCATAATTCGTGCCAAAGGTGACCAATCCGAACAAATCTAAACTTATTCTAAAATTTGATGTTATATCCGACATTTTTTGCTTTCATTCAAAAAAAAAAAAAAAATTAAAAAAATTAAGAAAATAAGTAAAAATTACGGCGTTGAATTTGTTGCAGTTTTTTTTACTCACCCTGCATGTATAAATTTCGAACGCAATTTTCTCGAAAACTATTAAACCGAGGTATATGGTGTAGAATATTTCCTCTTTTATGACTTTTTGTCTAAAACGAAGTTTTATTTCAATTTCATGCATCAACTCGAAAAAATGGCTGAGGAACTTAACCAAAAAATGAAATATGGAAATATTTTCGCGTTTTTTTTTCTTGACAACATTGATGCAAAGATTTTTTTGGTATATAATGTATATAGGGATTTCTTTTCTTTGTTGATCTATAGTGAAATTTGATGAGGAATATTTTTCCATTGACGTTATCCTTCTAAAATGCTGCTTTGCTGGAGATTTTTGCACAAACTCAGACAAAGTATAAATTTAACCTTGAACTGTTTTTGATGTATTCTAGAATTTTATGTCAAAAATCTTTGTAGGAGATTTTGTCTTGCAAAGGCGATTCCGTTTCAAGGGAGATTTTATCTTTCGAAAATGAAATATTAATGGAGATTTTGACTTAGAATGGAAAAAACATAAAAAAAAAAACTTAAAAAATGTAAACTCATAATTTTCTCTTTACATATATAAATTTTGAATGAAATTTTCTCGAAAAGTATTAAGCCTAGAAATATGATTTATTCTGAAACTTATATTGAAATTCTGTGTAGATTATTTGCTCTTTTGTAACCTTCCGCCTAAAACGAAGTTTTATGTTACTTTCATGCTTCAACTCGAAACAAAGGCCGAGGAAATTGATTAAAAAATTTAAAAAGCATTTTCGCGTTTTATTTTCTTTTGACAACATTGGTATATAATGGAAATAGAGATTTCTTGTCTTTGGTGACTTATAGTGAAATTTGATGAGGAATATTTTTGTCTTTGACGTCATCCTTCTAAAATAATGCTTTGCTGCAGATTTTTACACAAACTCAGACAAATTGCGGTATTAACCCTAAAATGCGTTTTTGATGTACTCTTGGACCTATAATAGAATTCTATAACAAAAAACCGTGTAGAATATTTTGACTTGGAACGGGAGATTTTATCTTCCGAAAATGAAATATTAATGGAGATTTTGACTTAGAATAGAGCAAACGTAAAAAAAAACTTAAAAAACGTAAACTCATAACTTTCTCTGTATATATAAAATTCGAACGCAATTTTCTCCAAAACTATTAAATCTAGATAAAAAGTTTATTCTGAGATTTATAGTGAAATTTTGTGTAGAATATTTCGTCTTCTGTAACCTTCCGCCTAAAACGAAGTTTTGTGTTACTTTCAGGCTTCAACTCGAAACAAAGGCCGAGGAAATTGATTAAAAAATTTAAAAAGCATTTTTGCGTTTTATTTTCTTTTGACAACATTGGTATATAATGGAAATAGAGATTTCTTGTCTTTGGTGACTTATAGTGAAATTTGATGAGGAATATTTTTGTCTTTGACATCATCCTTCAAAAATGATGATTTGATTGAGATTTTTGCAAAACCTCAGACAAGGGATGACTTTAACCCTAAACTGTGTTTTTGACAAAAATCTTTGTGGGATATTTTGACTTGGAACTGCGATTCGGTTTTCGGTTTAAATTAAATTAATATTAAAGGAGATTTCGACTTAGAATGGAAAAAACTTAAAAAATTATTAAATTATCAGTTTATAATAATATATAAATTTTGAATGAATTTTCTCGAAAACTATTAAATCTAGATATAAAGTTTATTTTGAGACTTATAGTGAAATTCTGTGTAGAATATTTCTTCTTCAGTGACTTTATGCCTAAAATGAAGTTTTATGTTACATTCATGCATCAACTCAAAACAAACGCTGAAAAAAAATACCCAAAAAAAAAAATAAAAAAAATATTTCGCGTTTTTTTCTTGACAACATTGATGCAAAGATTTTTTGGGTATATAATGGAAATAGAGATTTCTTGTCTTTGGTGACTTATAGTGAAATTTAATGAGGAAAATTTTTGTCTTTGACATCATCATTCTAAAATTATGCTTTGTCGGAGATTTTTGCACAAGGTTTAGCTTCAACTATAAAATGTGTTTTTAATATTTTTGAATTATTTTTATTATTTTTTATTTTTAATATTTTTATGAATTTACGTTAAATTTAGAATTTTTATGTATTCTTGAACCCATAATAAAATTTTATGACAAACAACTTTGTAGAATATTTTGACTTGACAAGATTCCATTTAAACGGAGATTTTGTCCATAGTTTCATAAAAAAGGTCCAAAGTCCAATTCTTCTGGAACGGAGTACTAATGTTTTAAATTTCGGAACCTGGCTTTATTATTTTTTTTTTTGTCTTTTAAAAACATGCCTTGAAATGTTTTCATCCTCTGCTCTTCACATTCAACTTACTGCCAAAAAATCGTTGCTTTGGTGTAGGGCATTATTCACACATGATCGGCCCAGCCGACTGTGGATCTTTCATTTGTTTTGTTACAAGTTTTTTTTAATAAAATATTATATATTCTCGTCTATTTTTTTTGCTACTATTATTATTAGAATTAAAAATGTTTAGCTTATTAAAGATTCAAAATTTGTTTCATCAATTCTTTTGCTGGTCTATTACGACGACGAGTTTGAGGGGCCATTGTTTTTTTCTTCTCCTTGTTCTTTTTTCTTCTTCTTCTATTTCTATACATTTCTACAGCTAGCATTTACATATCGGCATTTTGTTTTAATTAAAAAAAATAAATATTTACAAAAATTGTTTTCAAAAATGGTTTTCAACATCAAAAAAGCAGTACTTTGTTTCTCTCTCTTTCTTTCTTTCTTTCTGTCTAGTTGTCTGTGTGTTACACAGTGTGTGGATCCGCAAAAAAGTTTTAGTTTAATTTTGTTTAAAAAAACAGCTCTTTTTCATTCTCTCTCCCAAAAGCATTTTGAAAATCAAAACTGGACATTACAGGTTTGGGCAATAACGAAAATATGGTGTTGCATTTTCTTTATTGAATTTTCTCAATTTTTTTATTATAATTTCAACACCATATTTTCATTTTCTTAGATTCTCTGTCGAACAATGGTCTCCGCATCAAACCGTCATGAAAAAAAAATATTTATGTATTTTAGTTTAACAAAATAAATATTAGTATTTCATTTGATTCGAACAATTATTATTCAGGACATATTTCATACTCGTATATGTTGTTTTTTGTATTTTAGTTTTTTTTTTATTAATAAAAATCACTACAAAAACAAAAAAACTTTGCTGTGAAAAAGATCTGCCAATAGAACTTGAGTCGAACCTGGAGAGTTTCTAGTGTATAATTCGCATATGCTAATTTGCAATATGTTCGAAATATATACTACTTTCCAGAGAAACGGCCCTTGTAAGCCATCATCCACACCAAAATATGCCTGATGAGCCGCTTAACCAACGGCGAAACGCGTCGCATAGTGGTGAGTGTGTGATAGTGTCTATCTGGCTTTCCTTTTCACTGCAAATTTCAGATCATTAAGCTCGTCTCGAAAGAGAAAACAAACACAAAAATATATATATTTTTTTGTCATATCTGTTATTTTTGTATATAATTTGTGTTTTTTGTTCTATTTTGCACACATTATTAATTTACAAACTCCAATAAAATAGTAAAAATCAAAATAAAAAAAAAAAGTGTTCACCGTCAACACTTTATCGTTTAATTTTTTTTAAAAAAACCAAGAAAAATATTTAAAAGATGTAAATAAAAATGCAATTATATGTTTTATCTTAAAAAAATTGATTTTCATCTTAAACGTTTACTCAATTTTTATACTCATTTTTTTTCCAAAAAAAAAAAAAAATTATAAAAAATTTATTTAAAACAAGTTAAAAAGCTATAAGTTCGGCCGGGCCGAACTTTTAATACCCTCCACCATTTGGTACAAATTTGGCAATTTCCAAAAAATAAAACCCGTTAAAAATTCTGTTAAAATCTTAAAAATACCGAATGCTTATACGACGACGTGGGCCTGCATAGGCAACTTTTGTCATAAATTATTACAATATTTAAATGCGAAACTTGAAGAAAAATCTGTTTATAATGTAGCTAAAATCAAAATACCGAATATGGGGGGTACCGCTATATGGGGGCTATACGAAGACGTGGACCTGCACAGACAATTTTCTGGCATGGGCTGAAGTATCCATTACGAACTTCACATACGAAATTTGGAACGATTTCGCTAAATAACGTCGCTAAAATCATTAAAATACCGAATATCGGGGGGTACCGTTATATGGGGGCTATATGAAGACGTGGACCTACATGGCTCATTTTTTGATTTAGGATGTAGTATCTATTACGAACTTCAAATACCAAATTTGAAACGATTCCGGTAAATAATGTCGCTAAAATCATCAAAATCGGCGGGTACCGTTATATGGGGGCTATACGAAGACGTGGACCTGCACAGACAATTTTCTGGCATGGGCTGAAGTATCCATTACGAACTTCACATACGAAATTTGGAACGATTTCGCTAAATAATGTCGCTAAAATCATCAAAATACCGAATATCGGGGGGTACGGTATATGAGGCTATAGGAAGATGTGGACCTGCACAGAAAATTTTCTGTCTTAGGCCGTAGTATCCATTACGAACTTCAAATACCAAATTTGGAACGATTTCGCTAAATAACGTCGCTAAAATCATTAAAATACCGAATATCGGGGGGTTCCGTTATATGGGGGCTATATGAAGACGTGGACCTACATGGCTCATTTTTTGATTTAGGATGTAGTATGCATTACGAACTTCAAATACCAAATTTGAAACGATTCCGGTAAACAATGTCGCTAAAATCATCGAAAAACCGAATATCGGGGGGTACCGTTATATGGGGGCTACAGGAAGACGTAGACCTACACAGATAATTTTCTGTCTTAGGCTGTAGCATCCATTACAAACTTCAAATGCCAAATTTGAAATAATTCCGGTGAATAATGTCGCTAAAATCATCAAAATACCGAATATCGGGAGGTACCGTTATATGGGGGCTATATGATTACTTGGACCTACATGGCCCATTTACGAACTTAACCTGCCTACTGGTAAAAAATACATGTGTGCAAAATTTTAGCCTTCTATCTCAATTTGTTCGAAAGATAGCGTGATTACAACAGACAGACAGACAGACAGACGGACGGACAGACAGACAGACAGACACACAGACAGACAGACGGACATGGTTAAATCGTCTTAGAATTTTACGCTGATCAAGAATATATATACTTTGTTGGGTCTGACATGAATATTTCGAGGAGTTACAAACGGAATGACAAAATTAATATACCCTCCATAGTATGGTGGAGGGTATAAAAAGCAACAATATTTCTTACCTTAAAGATGAAATTCTCAATATATTTGTAATAATATTCCTTTAGAAATATTTATAGGTGTATCGAAAAAAAAAAAAAAAACATTGCTACTATTAAATTGCCTATAACAATATATAAACAATTACATGTAAAAAAGCAGTAAGTAAGGCCGGGCCGAACTTTGAATACCCTCCAAAGCCGAAATTTGAATACCCTCCAACATTTGCAACGAATTTGGAAATTTTCAAAAAAAAAAAAATAAATAAATAATAAAATAAAATCCGCAAAAAAAAATGTTAAAATCTTGAAAAATATACTGAATATAGCCGTTATACGTCTTTGTATAGACCCCAATATAACGGCTATATTCGGTGTTTTTTCAAGATTTTAACAGATTTTTTTTGTGAATTTTATTTTATTATTTATTTTATTATTATTATTATTATTTTTTTTTTTTTGAAAATTATTAAAGTTGCCTATGTCATAGGCCATTACAACATTCAAATATATTTCAAATGAAGTTTGAAACAACAAGTTAAAAAGTATCAGTCGGTATTGCCGACAGATATATACCCTCAGCCTACGTTTATTTAAATATATTTTGGCTAGTATTACGATTATTCAAACGTTTGACCCTCTATGCAGCAGGTTCCGAAGAAATGGGTCAATATTGTCCATTCCGTATTTTATGCCAAATCATAAAAACAGATAAAATTATTGAAAATTTTGACACTATGTGGGTGAGGTGCCAGAAGGGGTTCGAAGATATATACAAATCTTGTGTTAGCAAAAATTTTGTATGTTTGAAATTTGAAGAGATGCTTATTTCGCTTTATTTGAGCGGTTTTTTTTTTCAAAATCTTGAACCCCATGTATGGGGGAGGTACCAGAAGAAATGGTTCGATCTATACCATCTTTATAACAGATCTTGTGTTGATAGAAATATTCAGATGTGCCAAGTCTAAATGGAATCGAATGTTAATTTGGCGTTTTATGAGCCACATGGGTATTCAAAAATGTCGACACATTTTGTGGGGGAGGTACCAGAAGGAGTGGACCGATATATTCCATGTTAACACCAAATCTTAGGTTTATAGAAATATTGGGGTGTGTGAAATTTTAAGACGTTTGGTTCCTTACATCACATTTTATAAGAGTTATAATTATTCAAAATTTTGACCCTTTGTGGTGGAGGTACTTGATGGAGTGGACCGATATAGTACATTTTCGCACCTGACTTAGCACTTACGCAAATATTAGGATTCCGAAAGTTCGAGCAAAATCGGATCATCCTTTCTCTTTCTGTGCAGAAAATATATTTTTTGCAAATTTCGACCTTTTGTGGGGGAGGTACTTGATGGAGTGATCCGATATTGTCCATTTTTGCACCTGACCTTGCGCTGTTACAAATATTAGGATTTGCAAAGATGGGGCAAAATCGGATCATCCTTTCTCTTTCTGTGCAGAAAATATATTTTTTTTGGAAATTTCGACCTTTTGTGGGGGAGGTACCAGAAGGAGTGGACCGATGTATTCCATCTTCACACCAAATATTACGCTAATAAAATTATTGGGTTGTGTGAAATTTGAAGACAATCGGACTCGTACTTCACATTTTATAAGAGTTGTTATTATTTAAAATTTTGACCCTTTGTGGGGGAGGTACTTGATAGAGTGTCCATTTTCGCACTTGTCCTAGCACTGGCAAAAATATTAGGATTTGCAAAGTTGGAGCAAACTCGGATCATCATGTCTCTTTCTGTGCAGAAAATATATTTTTTGAAAATTTCGACCTTTTGTGGGGGAGGTACCAGAAGGAGTGGACCGATATTGCCCATCTCCGAACTCGATCTAAGTTCGACAAAAATATTACGATGTACAAAGTTTGGACCAAATCGGGTACTCCCTTCGAGAGTTATCGTGCGCACCAGCCAGCCAGACGGACAGACAGACAGACGGACGGACGGACATCACTAGATCGACTCCAAATGTCCTAAAACGGATTTGGTCCAAAGAGACCTAGGGTCTAAGACCGTTATTTCGACTAGGCACGTTTTGACCGTATCAAATGATACGGCTGAGGGCATAAAAAATCCTGTGAATAATGTAGCTAAAATCATCAAAATACCGCATATTGGGGGCTATACGAAGACCTGGACTTACATAGAAAATTTTCTGTCATAGACTGTAGTTTCGGTTAATATTGTACCTAAAATCAACAAAATACAGAATGTTGGAAGGTATTGGTATATGGGCTTATAAGAAGAACTGGACCTACATAGACAAAATTTCTGGCATAGACAGTAGTATCCATTACGAACTTCAAATACCAAATAGAAGACCTGAAGATTTCATAATCTGCTGGATTAACAGTAATTATTAAAAATTTGCATTTTGTAGCACAGTGTTGTAGATGACGCAAAAAAAAGTGTTATTTTCAAAAATGCTCTAAGATTTGAGTGTTTTTTTAAAGATTCAATCAGTTAATAACTTAAATCTGGAGTATTCCCCCATTGAACAAATTCGTTTCAGGACACTTGAAGTTGATCTAACGATATCCGTCCGTCCGTCTGGCTGGCTGGTGCGCACTATAACTATCGAAAGGAATATCCGATTTGGTACAAACTCGGTACATGGTAATATTATTATCAAACTTAGATCGAGTTCGGTGATGGGCAGCTCCTTCAGGTACCTCCCTCACAAAATGTCAACATTTTCAGAAAATAATTTACTGCACAGAAAGAGAAAGGATAATTCGCTCAAGTCCACTCCATCAAGTGCATACGCCACAAAGGGGCAACATTTCGAATAATTATAACTCTCATAATATATGATGTACGAGTACGATTGTCTTCAAATTACACCCATCACAATATTTTTATTAACCCAAGGTCTGATGTGAAGATGGAATATATCGGAGTACTCCTTCTGGTACCTCCCCCACAAGGGGTCAACATTTTGGATATCCATGAAGGTCATAAAACGCGAAATTAACATTCGATACCATTCAAACTTGGCACATCTCAATATTTCCATCAACACAGGATCTCTTGTAAAGGTGGTAGAGATCGGACCATTCCTGCTGGTACCTCCCCCACAAAAAGGATTAAAAATTTAAATAACCAAAACGATTATAAAATCTGAAATAAGCATTCGGTTCTCTTCATCTTTCACACATCCCTTTATTTTTGCTAACAAAACATCTGCTGTGAAGATGGGATACATCGGCGCACTGCTTCTCTGGTATCTCCCCCACGAAGGATCGACATTTTGAATATCCATAAAGCTCATAAAACGCAAAATTATGATTCGATTCCGTTCAAACTTGGTACATCTCAATATTTCCATCAACACAAGATCTGTTATAAAGATGACAGTGATCGGACCATTACTTCTGGTACCTCTCCCACACAGACAGAGTTTAAGATTTTTAAAAACGAAACGCTCAAAGAAAGTCATATATATGAATCCAACTCTATTGAAATTTCACACACACAAACATTTTTACAAACGCAAGATCTGTTGTGAAGATGATATATAACTGCAAACCCACCCTGTAACCTCTCCCACAAAGAGTCACAATTTTCAATTCTTTAAATGTTCGATTTTCTTGTAATTTTGTCCATACCAATATTTTCATCTGTATTAGCTGAAGGATTTTAACATTTTCTAAAAATTATCACATATTTCAAAAGTGAAAGAAGTAACCAATATACTTCGGAACCTACCACCTAGAGGGGCAATAAATTTAATAATCATAACAGAAGTCAAAATATATTGGCTGTGGATACACATCTGCCGGCAATACCGACTGATACTTTTTAATTTGTTTTCATAAAAACTATTAAACCTAGATATATGGGTTATTTTGAGATTTATTGTGAAGACCGAATAATTATCCATTAAAAATTGACATTTGTTCACGTTTTAATGGAAAAATTTAAAACGATATTTTCGTGGCATAGTATGGAAATACAGATTTCTAGTCTCCAGACACATATAATGAAATTGAATCTAGTATATAACGGGACATGGAGGAAAACGTGGACATATATAGGCAAAGTTCCGCTACCATAAGTACATTCAAATACTGTCTCTAAATGCCAAATACTAAACAATTCTTTTGGAAAATGTACAGAATATTGGGATTTACCATTGACTGGGGACTATATGAAAACGTGGACTAATATAGACAATATTATGTCACCATAAGTAGATCCCAATGCGGATTCTAAAATCCTGAATTTGAAAAAATTTCGTTAGTGGCTTAAATCACAAAAAAAAGGGAATATCGTGAGGTACCATCCTCGAATTCCACCTGCCTGCTGTCAAAAGACACCTCTGTACAAGTCGTTTGGAGCCTTCTATTATTACATCTGACGGGCGGACGGACATTGCTAAAATTTTAAGCAGATCAAGAACACACATAATTTGTTGGGTCTAAAATAAATATTTCAATGAGTTACAAACGGAAGGACAAAATTAATATCCACTCCATACTAGGGATGGCAAATGATATAAAAAACCATAATAAAAAAATAAAAGACCATTTTTTTTGATGTATGCATTTGTTTTGAGTATGTATATAAAATAAGATTTAACAAAAGAAAAAAAAATAGCTTAAAAACAAAACACTAAGTATTTCAATATCCTTAAAAACTGTACATAGAAAGTAAATTAGATTAAACGTCTTCTGCTTTAAAAAAAAAAAATATATATATATATATATATATATGTATGTTTTGTTGTATGTATATATAAATCTGATTATTTATATATTTATAAGTATATAGAAGTAAGTTGTTGTTGTTGCTGTGGTTGGTTTTAGTAAGTATGCTGTTGTGTTAAACATGTGGTTGTGATTTCTTCATCTTCTCATCTCATTTGTTGTTGCTGTTGTTGTTGTTGTTTTTGTATACATATACATATTATTTGTTTGTATATAGTTTAAATTTAATCTGTATATAATCATAATTTGTATATATATGTATATATAGAATATGTAATTTCTTTTTTTTTGTTTCTCTCTTTTTTAATATATTTATAATAAAATCATTTATGTTTTATTCCGAATTTTCTTTTTCTTTTTTTTTTGCTTTTTTTATTTAATTATAATTAATTAAGTTAATTATTAGTAATATTTGTGTGATTAGTATTAACAGTTGTTGTGTTATTTTGTGGCTGCATTTGTTGCTTTTGCATTTGCATTTGCAGCTGTTGCTGTTGCTGTTGTTGCTCTTCGAGAGTTGGAATATTATCTTGTAGTTTCAGGACTTGTAATCTTGGATTATAATACCCGGCTAAATAATATGTATCATTATTATCGTATATCGATTGATATTGCTTTGAATCTGCTCCGAACTTATTAAAATAGCGAGCAAATTGTAAAACTTCACAGCGATGTGATATTGTTTGTACATCGTTTTCATCCTCATGCGGCGATTCGAAGAGAGCACCCTAAAAAATAAATGGAAACAATTAGAAAGGACATTATTAAAAAGGAGGTCTCCTTTTGTTGTTGTTGTTGTAAACTTACTGGGAATTTCAATTTTGGACATCCCGTTGTCTCTTCGGGATGATAAAACCATCGCACACGCACAATTTTATTATTGCATGAATTCTCCCACATTGATTCGATGCGTCCAATATAGGGACGATCCGGTCGTCCAGTTGATAAAAATACTGCACAATCCCCAACCTGAAATGGATGCGACACAAATCGAAATAAAACGAAATTAGTGGATATCTAAATGATATTTAAAAATTTAATATTTAAAATGGAATATGGGACTTTTTAGTGGTCCTATATAAATGGAGATCTTCAAGAAATGTCTTAAATAAAACTCCTTCTCTTTTTATACCCTACACCACAAGGTGGTCAGGGTATTATTTTTTTGTGCATTGGTTTGTAACAGGCAAAAGAAAACGAGATCGACCCGTAGATCCTTTTGATGATCTGCATAGAATCACATTCTGAGTCGATGCAAGCATGTCCATCCGTCCGTCTGTCCATGTTTTTTTGTAGACAAAGCATAGTTCACAGAGTTCCCTGGACTCGACGAGGTGAAGCGATTGGCACCCCTAATTATCCAGTTAATGGACTGATTCACCGCAATGGACTCCCTAACGCTGGGGTGTTACGTAAACCATGTCCTTCAGCGTTCCAAAGTTTGCAGTCAGGGTACCGACTGTATTCGAACTTTTGCTTCCTCGATACCTGGGCGCCCTGACGAGTAGCAGGCTTAGTTACCAAGTCCTTACCATGATAGGGAGGCTATGTCATGGTGGACATCGTCAACTCCATAGTCCACAATTTTTATGGAGAACAATAAGAAAAAACACAAAAACAACAAAACCAAATCCACACACATTTTCAACTGCCTCGTTGGTGGTATCAATCCAGGACACCGCCACGGACTTGATTTTAAATGAGGTTGGCGACTCGGCCCTATTAACGTACCTAGACGTTGTATGTGAGAGCATACAGGGACAGAGCGAACAGCTGTCAGCACTTCTTGAAAAAAAAAAACAGGATCCTGAGGTTTAGCCAAGAGAGCGTTCCATCTGGCTTTGGGAATGATTCACCTCTCTCAGATGAGAAGCTCGACGTCACTGTCATACCTTCATCTCAGAAAAATGAATCAATCCAAAAAGCTACGGAGAACTCCCAGACCGATGTCCAGGTGAGGTTGACTCAAGAAATAGATCCATCGGCATGCGCCGATGCGTTCAACCCTCGGATGCAGGTACTTCACCAACCAATAACACAAACAACCGCAATGACTCCAGCTCGAAGGAGGGTAAAGCAAGAAGGGGTTACAAGCGGTCAGTTAGATACTGTAAGAGATTGCTCGACCGCGACCCTCTACAAATTACGGAGAGGGAAAAAACCCTAATCAAGACGAACCGTAAGGCAGTACGGAAGTTCGAGAAGAATCATCCGTAATGCTCCCTTGAAAAGTAGTTTGTCTCTCTACTAACCGACCCCATCAGGTAGGCGAGTCCAGTTGGGGACAAACCTTCAGACGAGGGTAAAGCGGAGAGCAGCAACATTCCAGTTGTTGGAATTACAGCACCAGCTGTTGCACCATCGACGAAATCCAAAGCTACTTCCGTTGATACAAGGGCAAAGAAGTGCAAAAAGCAAAATAAGTTGGAATCTGAAGGAGTCGATGCCTCTGCGGAACCGAAGGAGACCAACTCCTCATCTCGTCCAACGATAAAGAGGGGACGGTTAATTGTGAAACCACAACCCGAGGCTAAGAAACCTTCAAAAGGAAACCCCTCTCCTCTCCTCCAACAGCTGCGCTATTTACCACCATCATCGGCAAGATAGTAGTGGTTGGTACGATTCAATCAGCTTCTGTAGACCCTAAATCTACTAAAGCCAAAAATTAAATCTAGCAGGAAAAGGAAAATCTCCCAAACTATCTACCCGGATAACCTCCGTGTAGCAGTCATTGGCCGTGCTGAGCCGGTAGACAAAATCAGCGAAAGTCGGAGGTTGCTAATTGAGGACCGTCTGAGGTAGATGGACAATATCGGTCCACTCCTTCTGCTACCTTGAACTGCTACCCTACCATGAAGCTCATAAAACGCGAAATTAACACCCGATTCCATTGGCACATCACAATATTTCTATCAACACAAGACCTGTTATAAAGGTTGTAGAGATCGGACCATTCCTTCCAAAACGATCTTTGTTTGAAAATATTTTTGTCGTACCTTTCCATGACAGTGGGAAAAAACAGCCCCCCAGGTCTGATTTGTTTCAACCCAACCTTATTTATAAAATTATGATTTGAAACGCTTAGATAAAATGTGTTTGATTTCCGGCGAACCTCAACATAGATTGTCATACTCACAGTTATTGTTTCTTTTCCCCTCTTAATTGTCTTATAAAATTGCTTGCGAATGCGGCCCTTTGTACCCTTGCTGCCAGACTTGCAATAGGCTGTGCCCAGCCAGCCCCATAACTGGCGGTCGGGTAGGAAGGCGGCAATTTTACTACCCTTGGAACTGTTGTGTTCGACCATGTCATCAGCCTTAGCCTGGAAAGAGAAAAAAAGACGAAATTAATTAAAAAAAGTTCGATTTTTAAAAGAAACCTCAATTCCTACCTCATCAGAAACTTCCGACATTAGATTGGAAGTGCTCTCCTCCTCTTCCATTTCCAGGTGTTCAGTTTTGACTTTGACACTTTGTTGTGGTGTTGCTGCCAACGCCGGGCTGTGATGCTGATGATGTCGTTGGTGATTATTGCTGGATTCACGTTTAATGTGTGACAGATTCATGTTGTCATCCTCTTCTGCTTCGTCCTCTTCCTCCTCCTCCTCATCCTCTTCTTCGTCTTCTTCGTTCGGCTGAGCCTGTTCTTCTTCCTCTTCTGCTCCCTCGCCATCATCCTGATCGTCTTCTGGCGTGGCCCGTAATTGAGCATCTTCATTTTGAGTATTGTTCTGATAGAGTTTATAGTCTCCGCCATTCTCCAGCTTTTGTTTGCCATTGCTGGCGGTGTATCCGCTGCTCTCACTGAGAATATGTTGAGGAGGAATATGTCGTCGTTGCTGTTTATGCTTGGACGGGGTTGTTTCCTCTTTTGTTGTGCGTTCACTTTTCTTGCCAAACGATGTGGCCGCTGATGTACTGAACTTTTTCTCCATTTCCGAAACGATGCCGATTTCCATGAGATTTTTACGATGCTTCTTGTGTTTCTTGCGCTTCTTGTGCTTGTGGTGTTTACGCAAACTTTCAGTGGATTCCATGGACGATGATGCTCCCACTGCTGCCAAAGTCAGTGTGGTGGTGGTGGTGGCGGTAACGACGGCAGATGATGAGGATACATTTGTGGCAGCACCCCCACCCACACCATTTGTTGTGCTGACCACCACAATCTGCTGGGCTTTCTTCTTTAGACTCTTGTTACGCTTCTTCTCGCTACGCTTGGCGGCAAAGATTTCCATTGCATTCGCCTGGTGATAGTCACGATGGGATCCATTGCTGGTTATGCGCCGCTCATCATCCCGGCCATTATCGGCTGTGGCGGCCGTCGCAGCATCGCGACGTTGATGGTGATCTGAATCATTATTGTTTGTGGTTTTATTAGCATTGGCTTTCTTTTGTTTGCCTAAAGAGTAGAGGGGATTATCGTTGTACTCTGTATGTGTTGTGGTTGTTGTTGTAGTTGGGTTTTTGTTGTTGTTGATAGATTTGTGTGTATGTGTTTTTGTGGGTGTGAATTGGTGTTGTTGTTATTTTTTTGAAGGAGTAGTTGGAGGATTAGGAGCAGTAGATGTAGTAGTAGTAACGGTAGAAGATTTTTGTTGATTTGGAGACAACAGGTCAGGACAGTAGTAGTAGGAGTATTTGTTGTTGTAGTTGTTGTTATAAAAGAAAAACAAGAAATAAAAAAGATAAAAACATAAGAATTTTGATTTTTCTAAATTCGAGACAAAACAAACAAATAATCCAACTTAAACTGAAATGCATACCCCAGCAGCAATTTTGTTTTTTTGATTTCCAAGAAAAAATATTTGAAAAATTTAGTAAGGATACAAAACTGTTGTTGTTATGTCAAAAAGTCAATAGATCCCCTGAACTCTTTCGTTTTTTATCAAAAAAACACAAATTAAGAAAAATTAATTATCTCCCCTTTTTTTGGGAGTAGAACATTCATTCTCTTGGGATAAGTGTAAAAATATGAAAAGGCTTTCCGGCATGCAATTCAAAATAGCTTTTTGTTCGAATTTATATCTAGGGTTCACCGGGACTTACCAACAATGGGATAATCACTGAGCAGATATCTTATATTCTGTAAGCGGATCCGGCCGCTGTCGCCATCATCGAACTCCACACTAACAAATTCTTGTGACGTCACATCATCATCGGAAGACTCACTTTCAATGGCCCGTCCCGGGTATAGGCAACGATACTGTTGACTCCAATAGGCACAGAGACGCGTTCCCACAGGTACATCATCCACCGTCTTGGGTGCAACTTCCAAAATCTTGAAAATAAAAGAAATTCGATATTAATTTTGAAAAACGAAAAAGATATACCAAAATATGAAAATATTGACTTTATAACAAAAATTTATGTTTTTTTACAAAAAATTTGGTAGACTACCATATTCTACAGAAAAGTTTGTCGATAACAAAATTTTTTATAGAAAAGTTTGTCGATAACAAGATTTTCTATAACAAAAATTACAGGTAACAAGAATTTCTATGGTAAATAAATAGAAAATATTAGCGATAACAAGATATATTACCGATAACACGATTTTCTATAGAAAATATTACCGATAACAAGGTTTTCTATAGAAAATATTGCCGATAACAAGATTTTCTATAGAAAATATTACCGATAACAAGATTTTCTATAGAAAATATTACCGATAACAAGATTTTCTATAGAAAATATTACCGATAACAAGATTTTCTATAGAAAATATTACCGATAACAAGATTTTCTATAGAAAATATTACCGATAACAAAATTTTCTACAGCAAATATTACCGATAACAAGACTTTCTATAGAAAATATTTCCGATAACAAGATTTTCTATAGAAAATATTACCGATAACAAGATTTTCTATAGAAAATATTGTCGATAAGACGATTATCTATAGAAAATATTACCGATAACAAGATTTTCTATAGAAAATATTACCGATAACAAGATTTTCTATAGAAAATATTACCGATAACAAGATTTTCTATAGAAAATATTACCGATAACAAGATTTTCTATAGAAAATATTATCGATAACAAGATTTTCTATAGAAAATATTATCGATAACAAGATTTTCTATAGCAAATATTATCGATAATAAGATTTTCTATAAAAAATATTACCGATAACAAGATTTTCTATAGCAAGTATTACCGATAACAAGATTTTCTATAAAAAATTTTACCGATAACAAGATTTTCTATAGAAAATGTTGTCGATAACAATATTTTTTATACGAATGTTGTCGATAACAAGATTTTCTGTAGAAAATGTTGTCGATAACAATATTTTCTATAGGAAATGTTGTCGATAACAAGATTATCTATAGAAAATATTATCGATAACAAGATTTTCTATAAAAAAGATTTTCGATAACAACATTTTCCATAGAAAATATTGTAAATAAAAAGTTTTTCTATAGAAAATATTGTCGATAACAAGATTTTCTGCAGAAAATATCACCGATAACAAGATTTTCTACATAAAATATCACCGATAACAAGATTTTTTATAGAAAATATTACCGATAACAAGATTTTCTATAGAAAATATTACGGATAACAAGATTATCTATAGAAAATATTACCGATAACAAGGTTTTCTACAGAAAATATTACCGATAAAAAGATTTTCTATAGAAAATATTACCGATAACAAAATTTTCTATAGAAAATATTACCGATAACAAAATTTTCTATAGAAAATATTACCGATAACAAAATTTTCTATAGAAAATATTAACGATAACAAAATTTTCTATAGAAAATATTGCCGATAACAAAATTTTCTATAGAAAATATTACCGATAACAAAATTTTCTATAGAAAATATTTCCGATAACAAAATTTTCTATAGAAAATATTACCGATAACAAAATTTTCTATAGAAAATATTGTCGATAACAAAATTTTCCATTGAAAATATTGTCGATAACAAAATTTTCCATTGAAAATATTGTCGATAACAAGATTTTCTGCAGAAAATATCACCGATAACAAGATTTTCTACATAAAATATCACCGATAACAAGATTTTTTATAGAAAATATTACCGATAACAAGATTTTCTACAGAAAATATTACCGATAACAAGATTTTCTATAGAAAATATTACCGATAACAAGGTTTTCTACAGAAAATATTACCGATAAAAAGATTTTCTATAGAAAATATTACCGATAACAAAATTTTCTATAGAAAATATTACCGATAACAAAATTTTCTATAGAAAATATTACCGATAAAAAGATTTTCTATAGAAAATATTACCGATAACAAAATTTTTTATAGAAAATATTACCGATAACAAAATTTTCTATAGAAAATATTACCGATAACAAAATTTTCTATAGAAAATATTGCCGATAACAAAATTTTCTATAGAAAATATTACCGATAACAAAATTTTCTATAGAAAATATTTCCGATAACAAAATTTTCTATAGAAAATATTACCGATAACAAAATTTTCCATTGAAAATATTGTCGATAACAAAATTTTCTATTGAAAATATTGTCGATAACAAAATTTGCTACTGAAAATATTGCCGATAACAAAATTTTCTATTGAAAATATTGTCGATAACAACATTTTCCATAGAAAAGTTTGTCGATAACAACATTTTCCATAGAAAAGTTTGTCGATAACAAAATTTTCTATAGAAAAAGTTGTCCATAACAAGATTTTTACATTTGTCGATAACAACAATTCAACCGATTACAATATTTTCTATAGAATACTGGTAGACACCAGAAGAGTAGTTTGAAAATATTTCAATATTAAAAACTATCGATAACTTTCCGAAAAAAAGGTATTCGATAACAAATAATCTCGATAATTTTTCCCCCAACTTACCGTATCCTTGAAAATCTCCTCGCGGGACATAATATGCGATTTATTGCCTCTCTCACCGTCCAAAGTTATGGCATAGACATCTGGTGGCTGGAGCGGTTTCATGATGCCAGCATAGAATAGACCACCCATATCGGTAAGTACTCGTGTCTCCTTGCGGAACAAATGATCCTGGGTTAACATAAGCGTTCGATCGATTGGATTCATTTTTCGCATGGAAGAGGCGCCGGATGACGTCGACGACGACGAGGAAGATGTCGATGATGTGGTGGTGGTGGATTTTGAAGGCGCCTGCTGCAAAGCACTTTCAGTGTCCGTTGACATGGAACGATGTCCATTGTGATTATCACTGCTGGACTGGTGAAGATTGTCGTCGTGATTGTCTTCCTCCACTTCGTCCTCTTCAGCACCACTGGAACGTCTTGAAGACTGTGAACTGCCCAGCTTGCGTTCTTTGCAGACAATCACATGGCACAGCTTCTCGGAGGAGGCATGTTTTTGGGCTAGCCTTAGGACACTAGTTGTGTTGGAGGACCTCTGATGCTGCTGCTGTTCACTTGTGGCAGCTGCTGCCAGACAGCTGGGCTCCAGCCGAAGCGGCTTGTAGATGGCGGTACTATTTAGATTGCTGTTTGGATTGGAGGTGGCTGTGGAGGTGGTATTATCATTTTCTAATTCTACTTCGGGAGGTGGTGGGAATTGAGGATGGTTGTGGTGGTGGTGGTGATGGCTGGCCGACTTGCTAGAATCGGTGGCAAAGCGTATAAAGCTGGAGGGCGCCAGATAATTGGTGGTCGTCGAACATGTCGTAGAGGTTTTTGTTGAAAAATTACCAAATTTATAATCACACAGGGGTGCGGATGTCAGCGACGAGGTGGTAGTGGCCCCAGCTCGCTCACCGGCGGCGGCTACCAGGGAGAGAGTGGAATTACCCACCAAAGATAGCTGTTGGGTGGCCGCCTGCAGCTTGGAACATTTCTTCTTTTTCTTGTTCTTGGATATTTCATCCAGCTTACGTTTCTTTTTGCGGTACTGCCTCGTGATGTCGGCCAGACGCATGCGCATGCTGCTCTCCAGTTTGCTAAAGATTTCCTGGGGCGTAGGCCATTTGCCACCCATGCGCTGGTAATTGGGATCAACACAATTCTGGAAGGCATTCTGCAGCTCCTGTTGCAGCTGCGGATCATCGAAATCCAAGTCACTGGCCTGCACCTCTGCAGCTGCTGCGAGCATTTTGTGGCGTTTCTTCTCCTTGGAGTATTTCTTTTTGTTTTTCTTGCCACATTTTTGAGATTTCTTGCTGCTGCTGCCGCCGCCGCCGTTGGAATTGGAAGAGGATGATTTCGATGAGTGTTTGGAATGTTTGTGCTTCTTACGTTTGACGGGTATGTCGAGAAGCTCAGAGCTGTTGGCATGACTGGCATAACAAGTACCACTGGTGGAGGGTAGCTCCAGCGTATCCATGGAGGGAAAGCTGGAGTTTTGTGAGTCCACTTGGAAGCTGGCGGAAGCTGGTTTTACAAAACCCGTAGAACTTTGAGGGAAGTTTGTAGAGGTAGAGGCAAAGCTGTGAGGTGAATCATTGGAAGTGGGACGATAGAAGCCATTTGCGGCATTCGGATGTAGGCTGACAACAACACTGCTACTTTGGACTTCTTCTTCCTCCTGTATGCGTTGTTCGGCCAGAGCACATAATAGTTTGAGGCCACCCAGCGGTTCCACCTCATTCTGCTGGATGGGAGGTGAAGATGCCGTGAGCTGTTGTTGCTGCTGCTGTTGATGTTGGGGTAGGGGCGAAGTGGGGGCGGCGGGGTTATAATGTTCATGGTTGGAGTTTAAAACTCCCGTATGTAGTTGGTCACAGTTTGTAGCTTGAGTATCCGCCAGTGGGTTGTAGGAATTTGATTCCATTACCGTGGTGGAATAAGGGGGTTCAGCTGTAGCATGGCACATATTTTGATCGATTATTGGATCCAGGGGTTCTTGTTTGACGCGTAGACACGCACCACTCTTCACCAGGTTACTGGTGCTGATGTTTGACAACAGCTCCAGACCGGTTAAGTCCTCTTGGCGCACCGGCATTGTTGCAGTTGCTGTCGTTCCCGCCGCTGTTGTGCTGCTGCTTATCAGAGCCGGTGTCACAGAGGTTTGACGCCCATCTTTGAATTCCTCCTGCAATTCTGGACAGTCGGCCTTTAAAGCCGTTTTCAATTGATAGTTCTGCTGTTGCTCCAGTTCCTCCTGGTCTGCCGCCATTCTTTGTTCCTCATTGTGGACGTTATCTGCATCGGCATCCTGATCTTCATCGGGCCGCAAAGTTGTGGAACTTTCCACCCTGGGACTGGTTGTGTTCGGCCTTTGGGTTTTAGTCAATTCCAGTGGCTCCTGGGCCTCTGCATCATGGTACAGTTCATCGTTTTGTGTTAACGGTGGCGTACACTGGGCCGTGGTGCAGGGTTCCATGGAACTAGAGTTGGGAAGCTGGGATGATTGATTCAGGGGACATGAGGAGTTTTCATCTTCACTGCACACCGGTGTATCGGTTTGTATGTTGACATCTTGCATTTGGGGTGGGGCATTAGGGGGATTGTTGTTGTTGTTGGTGGTGGTGGCAACTGCTGATGGAATGGTTGTGGGAGGAAGCACTGGATTTACAATTCTTGGAACTCCCACAACGATTTGGGGTGGCGTTCCATCCAAATTTGATTTGAAATTTAAGGCCATATCATCGCCCAAGGGTGTGGGAGGTCCATCGATAGGTGTGTTGTTGTTAGCATTGTTGGTGGACGCCATTGTGGTGGGGGTACTGAGAAAATTTGTATTTGTTGCCAGGCTAACACTAACTTGCGGCGTAGTGGTGGTGGTGATGCTGCTGCTATTGGTGGTCGGGACACTGGCACAGGAGGCGGCCACACGATTTAGGGTGGCCGAAAGATTGAGCAATGCTGGCGTGGGTGAGGATGTGGAAGCTGCCGCATGAAACAATAGCGGTGGTAGTTGAGGAGTACCCGCTGCAGCCGCCGCCGCTGCTGCGGCTGCCGTTTCCATTGTGGCCGAGGCTGGTGGTGTGGGCAAACGCATCAGATTTAAAGCTTGAGTTGTGGACGCAGGTAATTCCAACAGATTCGTTGCATTTGAATTGGCCAGTTTGTCACGACCATCAAGGAAATGAGCGGGCGGTGGCGGAATTGCTGGCACACCCAGTGTGGCTGATGCCGTCATTGTTGTGGTCGTTGTCTTGGAGGCGGCCGCTGCCATAAAATCCCCACCACCACTCCAATCTTCCAATTTCAATGCCGATGGAGGTATTAACAATGGATGGGGCGGCGGTGGTGGTATGGTCGGCGGGTGTGAAGACGCTGCCATTAGTGAGGCTGGTGCTGAAGCTAAAGCTAAGGTGGCATGCGGTCCAGATGCATTGGCCAACGTTTTCGTTGTCTGACTTCCGGCTGTCTTTATTACCTGACCCGTATCATTTATACCCGGCGGCGGTCCTGTGCTTGCCGTGGCCAAACTCATAAAGCGGGTTGTGGTCGACGAACTGCTGGAGGACGAACTGAGTGTGGTGCCGGAGGCAGCGCCCGATACAACACTACCACCTAAACTTAAATTTATCGAACTACTGGTGCTGTTCGTCTGCTGATTATGCTGGCACAGGGTGGATGTGGCTGCAGCAGCTGCTGCTGCCGCCGCCGCTGCCGTTAGATAATTCGAGCCCAGAAACTGCAAGGACGTAGCATAGGGTTGGGCTGCTGCTGCCGCTTGCAGTGTCGAGTGCGGACTCATGGAGGGAAATATGAAATTGGGCGGCGGTTGTAAAGTGGCCGGCGCTGTGCCCTGCTGTAGGTAGGAGGGCCAGACAAAGGCCGCTGCGGCCGCCTGTTGGAAGGGATCTGTGGGTGTACATAGAATTGGAATTGAATTTGATAATCCTTGGACTTTGGTTTGCAATCATTGATATTCACAGAATGTCACAAGCGGAACAAAAGTGAAATAAAATGAATTGTAAGTTTTTTTTGGTATTTTTTTGGATTTTCAGATTGATTTGATTTGATGTGGTAGGTGGGTGGGTGGTTGATTGGTTGTGGAACGGATTGGTGGTGAAAGGTTTGAGATTGTGGTGAAATGTTACAGGTCGAGTGTATGAATGGGTCAGTCAGTGTGATATGATATGGATATGGAAGCGAGACAGTGGCAGGCAGCATTTTGTGTGTTTGTGTGGGGTGAGGGGAAATTTTGCGTTGAGGGGAGAAGAGAGAGAAGGGGAATTTAAGCAGATTAGTTTTAATGTTGCACACAATGTAAACAAAAATAAAGTTTCATTTAAAAGCTGAGAAAAGCTGATGTATGAAATCTAGAGTTAAAGAGGTGTGGGAGAGAGGGGAGAAGAGGTACGAGTTTTGTTTTACACAAAACTCCACACAAATCTCCCCCCACCTTCCCATGCTCTACAACTTGGAGAAATACCCACCTAAAGACGTTGCGGTTGCTGGCAATAGAACAACTTGGCCACGACTTGCCTCTCGCGAGTATTGTAAACCTACAGTGGCGGGTGACATCGAAATCACGGATTCTATGGGAAGCGCATCTGAAACAAAAAAATGGGACAAATTTTAATGTGAGGAATAATAAATTAGTCAATGGGAACTCACTTGGATATTGCCAAAATGTTGACGAGGCCCGATTAACACTTTGCTGCAAACTAGCCGCATTCAATGCCAACTCATCTGCAGTGGCTGAACTGGTCATTAAATCACCATTTCCGGTAAAATAGAAATTGCCACAACCGGTGCCAACTCCACCTGAAATAGAACGACAACAAGGAGAAGAAAAAGAAACATGAAATCTATGAGAAACAAGGATTAAAGAAATAGAAAAATTAAAATAAAGTATTAAATGAAAAAGAGATATTATTAAAAGGTGCCTGAAAGTATGCAATAAAACATACTTTTTAGCAGAAATTTATATTTCGGTCAAAAAGAGTTTGTCGGGATTTTTTAATAAGATTTATGGGCTATAATTGAGGTTTTTTAAAATATTTTTTAAGAGCCATCCCATTTTTGAAAAAAATTGAGCATTTGAGTTTCAGGAATAATTTTTTAAGAGCCTTAGACCAATGATCGTGGATTTTTTAGAAAAAATTTAATGGCTAAACATGGACATTTTTAAGAGCCAAGGACATAAACGTGGATTTTTAAAATAATAGTTTTTGAAAGACCCACAAGGATATGAAGTTGGATTTGTAAATAATTTTTTAAGGACTCTCAAGGATATACACGTGGATTTTTTTAAAATCATTTTTAAAGGAACCACAAGGATATAAACGACGATTTTTTTAAATATTTTTTGAAGGTCCCACGAAGACATAAACGTGGATATATATTTTTTAAAATAGCCTGAAAGTATGCAATAAAAATATACTTTTTACGAAAGTTTTATATTTCTCAGCCAATCTGGACTGTTTTTATAAATTTTATGAGTGGTGTTTTAGTATAATTTTTAAAGGGCCATCGCGATCTTCTAGCTCAATTTTGAGGTATCCGGAAGCTGTAAAAGGGGGGATTTCAAGAATAACTTTTAAAGACCCTGCAGAGCTATAATCGTAGATTCTTACGAAATTATATTGGCTTCTGGATAAACGAGGATTTTTGAATGTTTTTTTTTGGAAATAATTTTTGAAGGACCCATATCCTTTAAACGCGGATTTTTTAAAACATATTTTTTTGACGGACCTTAGAAACGTGGATTTGTTAAAATAATTTTTGAGGGACCTTATAAACGTGGATTTTTTTTAAATATAATTTTTGAAGGACCCATATCCTTAGAAACTTGGATTTTTTTAAAAATAATTTTTCAAGGACCCATATCTTTAGAAAGGTGGATTATTTTAAAAATAATTTTTTAAGGACTCCTATCCTTAGAAACTTGGATTTTTTTAAAAATAATTTTTAAGGACCCAACGCGGGTTTATTAAAATATACTTTTTGAAGGTCCCATATCCTTATAAACGTGGATTTTTTTAAAATAATTTTTGAAGGAAGCATATCCCTAGAAACATGGATTTTTTAAAAAATAATTTTTTAAAGACCCATATCCTTAGAAACTTGGATTTTTTAAAACATAATTTTTGAAGGACCCATATCCTTATAAACGTGGATTTTCTAAAATAATTTTTGAAGGACCTTATAAACGTGGATTTTTTAAATAATTTTTGAAGGGCCTTATAAACGTGGATTTTTTAAATAATTTTTTGGGACCAATATCCTTATAAACGTGGATTTTTTAAAACATAATTTTTTAATGACCCATATCCTTATAAACGTGGGTTTTTTAAAACTTAATTTTTGAAGAACCCATATCCTTATAAACGTGAATTTCTTAAAACATAATTTTTGAAGCACCCATATCCTTACAAAAGTGTATTTTTTAAAAATATTTTTTTAAGGACCCATATGCTTATAATCGTGGATTTATTATAAAATAATTTTTGAAGGGCCCGTATCCTTATAAACGTGGATTTATTAAAAAATAATTTTTGAAGGAACCACAAGGACATAAACGTGGATTTTTTAAAACAAAATTTTTTGGGGGTTCCGCAAGCATATAAATCTAGATTTTTTTAAAAGTAATTTTTTTGGGGGTTCCGCAAGCATATAAATCTAGATTTTTTTAAAAGTAATTTTTTTTGAGGAACCTCAGGAATATAAACCCGATTTTTTTAAAAATAACTTTTAAAAGGACCCTAAGGAATATAAACCCGATTTTTTTAAAAATAACTTTTAAAAGGAACCTCAGGAATATTCAGGGTGAGATGAAAAAACTGCAACCAACTTCAAACTGCTGTCATTTCTAAGCCACCCGTCCGACAGCTGTTCAAATTATTCCAGTGACAGCTCATTATATTGTTTACAAGCGTACAAAAGCATTCTGGTGAGAATTTTCCAGAAAATATATTATCCGTAATGGATTTCAAACGTGATAGTATGATTTCTTTATATTTGGCGGGAAAACCACAAGTGGCTATTATTAGAGCACTCCAGAATTTAAATGTGAATAAATCTTTTGTGTCTCGTACCATCGCTCGTTACCGTGATAGTGGTAACGCAGCCTGACATCAAGGAAGTGGACAGAAGAAAACAGCAACATCCGCAGAAATGGTTCGAAAAGTAAAGAAGCGAATTGATCGAAACCCGCGGCCGAAAATGGCTCGTGAGCTGACATATCACAATTTTCCATTCGGCAAATATTGAAAAATGGGATCGGTGTAAAGCCATTAAAATTCCAAAATGTGCAAGAACTTACACCGAAACAGAAAGAAAATAGACCAAAATCCCGCAGAGCAACATTCGGGCAGCATGCAATGGTTTAATTGGCCGTTTGAAGGCCACAATTCGTGCCAAAGGTGACCAATTCGAACAAATCTAAACTTATTCTAAAATTTGATGCTATTTCCGACATTTTTTGCTTTCATTCAATAACATTTAAAATATATAAAAATTATGGCGTTCGACTTTGTTGAAGTTTTTTTTATCCCACACCCTCCAGAATATTTTTGCGAAGCAACTCTTTATCTCTTTGAGTTCTTGCACTTTTTGGAATTTCAATGGCTTTACCCCAAGCTCATTTTTCAATATTTGCCGAATGGAATATTGCGAATATTTTTTGGCGAAAATGTCAAAGATAAAAATATTCTAAATCAAATTTCATTACGAGCCTCTGAATAAAAGAAATGTGTAAACTTCATAGGTATCATAAAAAATATCAATTTTGGTTTATTTTTTTTTATAAATTTCGACCAAATTAGCACTTTTTCCGAATTCGCTGGAAATTTTCTAATAATTTCACTGTCCAAAAGCCAATCTGGTTTATGGGAAATTCCCAGTGAATTTGATGGTTTTCGTCACAATTTCAATAATAATTTTCCATTTTTTTTATTTTGAGTTCTTCTTATTATAAAAAAAATCCTGCTTTCTGATCCCCTTCCAATGTCTCTCAATCAGTAAAATCTTCTAAAAAATAGTTTTAATTTCAAAGTTAAAAGTTCCTACCTCAATGGTTCATGTTGAAATGCCCTATTTCTCGCGCGCTCCCTCTCTCCCCCTCTCGTATGCAATTGTGTGTTAATTATTCCCCTTGATTTAACATTATAAATATTAAACATTTTAAATACACACATACACACTTCAATATACAACAATATACCCCAATTATATGCACAAAAGTATGCAATGCCATAATTAAATAAAAGCAACACCTTTGTGTATGCCATACAAAAACCTATATCCATCCCCATACCACCCACCCTTCGAAATCCACATCCACACAAAGGAATTATCTCCCATACATACATCCACACATAAATATGTTTCATTTAAAGTTTTTTTGTGTATATTTTAAAGCAACAAGACCCACGTGAAATTCCATCACTTAATCTGATCAATTTCACAAGAAGAAACTCAACAACGCAAAAGGTCATCGTGAAGAAGAAAGGCGAAAAACTTTCATATCCTTGAAAGAGAGAGAGAGAGAGAGAGAGGGAGAGCCTCATCATCGTCAAATGCAGCAGCGATTGTTTCGCTAACCTTGACACAAAATGAATATTTTCGATAGCGTTGCACAAACATTTGTTTCTCCTTTTTAAATGTCACTAACATTTGCAACATCCACCAACATTGAGTTGAAGGTCATAGCGCGTCACTTGGCTGGCAAATAATTTAATGTAACAATAAATTGTTGGCAAAGTAGTTTTGTAAGTTTTAAACAATACGAAATTTTGAAAGATTATTTCAAAATTTTCAAGGAATAACATCAATAAATATCTACTAGCATGAATTTGCATATGGCCTAAGAAAAAAAAAAATTGCAGCAAATTCGGAAAAATATGTATGCCAAATTTGTCGAAAATAATTTTTTTTATTTATAAACCAAAATTGATACTATTTTTTTCATGCTACATATTAAGTTTAGACATTTCTTTTGTTCAGAGACTCATACTCAATTTTGATCTGGAATAGTTCTCTCTTTGGTACTTTCCCAAAAAATCAAGTTTTTTATGGGAGATATTGACTCAGACTGAAAACATATAAAATCAACAGACAAAAACGTAGACATTTCCAGCGCACAATGGCCACCAACATCTCCGGATACCAATCCGTTGGACTATTGTGTCTAGAGTATTTTGGAAAGCAAGGTTGGCAACAAATACCAAAGTGTCGATCACTTCAAGCAAGCGCTTGGCCGGGAATGGGCCAAAATAACGCAGGGCAACATTCGGGCAGCGTGTGTCGGTTTTATTGGCCGTTAGAAGGTCATAATTCGTGCCAAAGGTGACAGAGTCGAACAAATCTAAACTTATTCTAAAATTTGATGCGGTTTCCGACATTTTATGCTTTCATTCAATAAATTAAAAAAAACATTTTTAAGTCCTTTTTGTATCCTTAACCATTTATAAAGGGACCCCAACTAATTATAGCGAGCGAGTCTGTATAGATATGACTTCCAACATAGTCTCTCAAAAAAAAAAAAATTGTCTTCAGACGTAAATCGCACAATTGACAGGTCCCGAACGAGAAATAAAGTTTTCACCGAAATTTCCACGAAAAATTGCATATCATCTCACGGTAGCTCTCACCATTCACAGTTTTAATGTTAAGATTCGCAGCATATTTCAGGAAGTATGGTCCAATGAACACATCAACCTATGACTTTTTACGGATTGGTAGCTTTGCCAATGCTTTCGGCTGACCTTCACTCCAAAATTGACAATTCCGCTTAATTACGTACGCATCGTGGCTGAACAATT